AAAGTAAATATTCAGTCCACTCAAAACAATTTCTTCAAATGGCCAACCTCCGAAATTAGAAATTAGTTTTTCTTTTCAGTTCTGAGTTAACTGCAAATACAAGAGTCCTACACCTTGCAAGACAAGTAGAATTAATCAGTTCATTAGTTTAAAATATAGTTGCCCAGCCTGCCAGTCAATATTCATGAATTTACCCAATTTTCATGAAGTTTGGTAAACAAAAGTAGCATTAATTTTTTGCTATTCCACTTACTAAGAATGTAATTTTCATAGTCCTTAAATCAAATGGTGTCGGGGTGGGGGGGAGTCAGCGTCCGCGCTGGCGCCCTGACAACTAGCTAAACTGCTGCTTGGCTCAAGGGAAAGAGTCCGAAGGTTACTCCCTGCCTCTTTCTCTCCGTGTGAGAGGGAGCAGGAGGGAGAGCCCAGGAGATAAGTAAGTGCAGCCACCGGCCCCTATCCAGCTCACAAAGGAACACTCAGATGCGGTGGGGGTTCTGTCAAGCAGTTCCGTTTATTCAACTGAAAGCCTACATATTTATGCATAAATGGGCTAAATGGGAGGGGGATTCTGGCGGGGGTCTCCACCTAAGAAGCCAATCACCCTATAGGTCATACGTGCATGCATGGCTCCAGCCTATGCTTATAGTAAAGATCATGAAGTGTCCACGAGCCCAGAAGGCTTTCTGCACCAATAATGTTAAGCCCCATAAATGGGGTGAGGTTTTACCTGACACCATAGTCACTCCCCTTCACATCCTCCAGGTGCCATCCTGAGCACGTGTGAAGAACAAAGAAGGGAACAAGCAGTCGTCATTAGGTGTAGCAACCATCTGTGCCAGGAAGGTAGCTGCCACCCAACAAAATGGATGTTTTTAAAGGCAAAGACATCTTTAGTATATACACGTTTGATTTTGAAAGTGACCCCCTGAAGCCCTGTAAATAATGACTTGCTAAAAACTCTAGTGGCTGAGGTTCAAGTTCCAGAAAATGTTGCTTTACATAGCTAATGAGACAGACAAGGGGGCTTCAAAAAGTTCATGGGAAGATTCGTATTACCTTTTATTTCTATTTTTCCATGATCTTTTTGAAGTACCCTCATATTTGGGACATATGTAGGGTTGGCATGATAGAAGAAAAGAAACCGTTTGCCCAGTCACTGGTATCATGTTGTTAGATTATTATGGTTTTATGGCCTTTGAATCAATAAATGTTAGAACCCTTTGTTACATTATCTATCAAAAGAGCTATATTTTTAAACACAGGAACTGAGGTTTAGGAAACCATTTTCCAATTCAATCAGTAAATATTTATATAGTTCCTAACGTGCTGTGGGGGAAATAATAAAGTTCAATAAAGTTCAGTTTTTCTTGGAAAATAAAATTTAGTAAGAAAGGAAAGTCATAAATTTATCAAATTATTAAAATGTAAACAGTAAACAAAAATTGGAAAATTATACATAGTAATGATAATAGTAGCTAAGTTTTCTGAAGTGTTTAGTTCAGCACTCTACATACATTATTTCATTTAATTTTTCAAAATGGAACTAAATTTAACTTATTTTCTCAATATCCAGTTGAGGTAAGCACAATTATTTTTCTTTTTCACAGATTAGTACACTGAGGTTCAGAGGAAATGAGCAACTTGCCTAAGGGCACATGGTCCAGATTAAAACAATGAAGTCTGTCTTTCTACCTAAGTAATCTGACAATCTGAGTTCCTTAAGGACTCTCTTTTACAAATCCAGTCATGGGTTCTGGAGATCCTGAGTTAGTAGCATTGAGATTCTTCCAGGTACAGTTTGAAAAGTCTATTCTCATGGTCAACGAATAGAAAAACACATGTTCATGATTTTTTTTCCCCCAAATGCGTCTCCTCTGAAGTTTTCTCCTTTACTTAACTCTGTACACTTTAGTAGAATTTTTTGTTTATAATTGGCATCTGAGTTATAAATATTAGCTTCATTTCTGGTATTAAGAAGTGAATACATTATGTGAGTATGAAAATATGATTAAACCTCAGTGGCTTGTATAGAGTGTATACTGTGTAAGTGATGTTGTAAAGCAGTTTAATATATTACACTGTGTTTCAGTACCTATCTCGTTTTAATAAGTCAGAACTCATGGGGATTATTATTCATTTGATGTATTATCCTCTTTAAAATATAGTTTATGTAGTTCAAGACGTATCAGGATTATTAAGTTCACATTGTTTATAGTTAAATGACTTGCTGATGTTCATCTATTGTCCCTGTTGGAAGATACTCCAATGGTGAAAACAAAATCACCGCTGTTTGTCTAATTGTGCCCCAGGGTAGAGATGAGACTGCGTCTAGAAGTGAGAGAACACCAGCTTTAATAAGCATACAATGTAATTTAACAGTTCATAAAACAGTAAAATTTAATCCTGGACTGAAAGATTTATTAAATTTCACTCAGCAAAATGGAGTATGGACTAAGGAGCAAGTGAGAATTAAGTGAAATGATTTCAGGGGTAATAGATTTTATTATCTGGTAAAGAGGGGGAATCATCCTGTTTTTTCCCCAAGCTATTTCTTCTTAATTCATTGTTTGAAATTAATTGTCTTACATAGGAAAGCTTTTTGGACACAAAATAAATAAATCCGGAGCTACTAAAAGCTTTTGCTTAACATTATTTGTTTAATTTCAGAAGAGTAAAACTATTGCTCTAAAATCTTAACAAAGTTAGGGCTGAAATATTTCAAACTGTAGAAGTTAAAGTATTTTGTATTCAGGGAGAATTGACCAATTTTCCTTTTGTAATATTCATTTAAAGTGCTCCCAAACTAAATGATCCTTGACAACAATGCAGTTTCAGAGAGTTTCATTTTTGCATATCAAGTAGTATATTAAAAAATTCCTCGGCATATTCTCTGCATCTATAATGATTGATTCAATTGCAACTTTGCCAGAAACAGGTAACCTTTTATTTTTTTAATTTATTTTGTTTTTTCCTACTTTTCCTATAGTTTTAAAAAAGTAAAACAGGTTGAGGTGTATAATAAGTTACATCTGTAAGATTTCCTTAAATGATAGACCTAAATTTGCTTTTTTTTTCTTTTTTGTCCAGATTGAACAACAATTTTGTGATTTAAAAAGAGTCTTCCCAAGCTAGAAGTCTCTTGATTTGCATAACAAAACAACAGCAGCTAATAAGCATGTAGAGATTTCACTGTGTGAAACACACACTGTATCATTTTACACACATTATATCATTTGAGCCGCGTTACATCCTGGTGCAGTAAGTAGAGCAGGTATTACTGCCCCTGTTTTACGGTAGAGATTTCACTGTGTGAAACACACACTGTATCATTTTACACACATTATATCATTTGAGCTGCGTTACATCCTGGTGCAGTAAGTAGAGCAGGTATTACTGCCCCTGTTTTACAGGTGAAAAAGATTGGAGTTTGGAGAGGTTATAATTTACCAGAAGAAGGGGCTTTTAAATGC